AGTNACTTTCATAATTTGATAACATGCAGGTGATTAGCATCAATGTTGAAAAAAGTATTTTACGGCATTTTTGGCCTAATAACATCGAGGGCCTAGCCATCGCATTCATATGATTATTATCTTAGATTTTGTTTTGGTTATCCAACCAAATTTCTCATTTATTGGCTACAGAAGAAAAATGAGACTTTACTTACGTACCTTACATATTATTTTAACTACATGGTCCGGTACCCAAAAAAACATGACTATACTCCATTATCTTTAACTAATCAGATCCATCAAATGAACAAATCCATAATAGGTAACTGGTTTATAGACATGGTTTACAAATCCATGAGTTTTTTTTTTGGTAAAATACAAATCAAATCCATATGAGTTGTTAATAATAGACATGGGATAGGACTTAACTACGACCACTATTAGTTAATTTAATTCTATTTCTGTTGACACTTATTTTGACAAGAAATATCTTCTGCTCCCTTTAAAACTACAAATCTATTTTAAGAGGAGAAACAAATAGTAAAAGATTGCTAGGAGTTAGAACAATGTGTAAGATGTAAGATGAAGTAACAAGAGTTCACCTAATATAGATTAAGGTTCACGGACACGATGGTGAACCAGTGAATTTTAACCTCAATAATTAAAAAAGGTTTAACCAATCATTCCTCCATTGCTTCCTCCCACAGATCTATATTTGTATCACACAATCCTTCTTAAGGTAAAACCAAACGCTTTCAATATTAAATCTAATTTCCTTTCTTCTTCTTTTTTTCCTCTCCTCACAAAGTGCTTAAATTTAAAGTTGTATAATTTGGAGGAGGAGAACGAGAAGGTAGTAGTAATATTTTCACAATGTTCGCGGAAACGAATAGTATTCCTAGAGCAAAATATGGCAATATGATGCATTCCGATCCGAATCTGTCGTCCACAATGACCCACCAGACAGAGGAAGAGTACGGCATACGCAATAGCAGTGCATCTGCGGTTGGTATGGGTATGTATGATAGAATGAGCTGTGAGGGGTCTCCAATGATGATGTCTCCATGGAACCAAGCAACACCATTTACTCAGACGCAATGGTCTAATGTTGAAGAAAATCTTCCTCAGAATGGCCTTATTGGCTCGCTTGTCCGCGAAGAAGGTCACATCTATTCTTTAGCGGCCACAAAAGATCTTCTTTACACTGGTTCTGACAGCAAGAACATACGTGTATGGAAGAATCTAAAGGAGTTCAGTGCATTCAAATGCAACAGTGGTTTGGTGAAAGCCATTGTGATTTCAGGGGAGAAGATTTTCACAGGTCATCAAGACGGCAAGATTCGAGTTTGGAAAGTCTCCCCTAAGAACCAGAGCTTACACAAACGATCTGGAACACTGCCCACTTTGAAAGATATATTCAAGGCATCTCTCAAACCAAGAAACTATGTTGAGGTGAAGAAACACCGCACGGCCCTTTGGATTAAACATGCTGATGCTGTTTCATGTTTGAGCCTTAACGATAAACAAGGTTTGTTGTATTCTGCTTCATGGGACCGGACCATCAAGGTGTGGAGGATTGCAGATTCAAAATGTCTAGAATCGATCCCAGCTCATGATGATGCTGTGAATTCAGTGGTGTCAACAACAGAAGCGATTGTTTTCTCTGGATCAGCTGATGGGACAGTAAAGGCATGGAAGAGGGACCAACAAGGTAAATACACAAAACATACACTCATGCAAACATTAACAAAGCAAGAGAGTGCAGTCACAGCTTTAGCTGTAAGCAAGAATGGTGCTGCCGTGTACTTTGGTTCGAGTGATGGTTTGGTGAACTTTTGGGAGAGAGAGAAGCAGTTGAACTACGGTGGTGTTCTCAAAGGACACAAGCTTGCTGTACTTTGCCTTGATGTGGCAGGGAGTCTTGTGTTTAGTGGTTCTGCTGATAAGACAATATGTGTGTGGAAGAGAGATGGAAATATCCATACATGTCTCTCTGTGTTAACGGGTCACACAGGTCCTGTAAAATGTTTGGCAGTAGAAGCAGATCGTGAAGTGTCAGAACGTGGAGACAAGAAATGGATTGTATATAGTGGAAGTTTGGATAAGTCAGTAAAAGTGTGGGGAGTTTCAGAATCACTTATTGACATGAACCAAATGGGTATGATG